CATTCTGTTTTTGAATTTTTGGTGATAAGGTAGTTTCGAAAATAGTGTTTCTGCTTCTTCGTATTATCCTTCATTTTTTTCTTATTTTTTATCTCCTGATATATAAGAGACGATGCTCCTTCTTTTAGTATTGAGAGTAACTAAACTTACTTAATATTATTATCTAATTTAGTCGAGGAATGATCTATCTTCAACTTCAAAATCGATTGTGAAAAAACGCCTAAAAAGGGAGAGAAGGTGGAGTTGTTGGTGGCTCCAATAAGGACTTTAGAGTGAGATATATGGATGACGCCATTGTTGAAAGTGGAAAAAGATGTGGGAGTTGATACAAAGCAAAGGAGAAAGTGTAGAATGATTTCTTAATCACGATTTTTTTTCTTTCACGAGATTAAATTGTTGATATTTTTTATTTTTTTTATGCATATGAATTCAGATTTTTAATGTATTTAGTTATTTTGGTTTCTTAAATTATGTATGATGTCTTCGTTTTAACATTATGATATATTGTAATTTCAGCATGCACGTGTTTAAATATTAATCTTGATACATAACCTTGATTCATGGAAATGCAAATTAGATATATCTTGCTCATAATTATGTACTTGATACATAATTATTACAAATTTTATTATCTTTTACTTTTTCAGATACATACGCTCAAACTTATTCAACTAGGATGTCATGTATATGTAGACATTATCAAATGGTTGATACGTAAACACTAATATTCTTATAACAATATTCATTTGTATCAACTCACCAATATGTTATGTATCACATGAAAAAAAAATATTACTGTATCTTTTATAGAACATAATATTCTCAAACAAAATAAGATAATATAATGCATCATGCACTAACTTTTTAGGTATGATACATAAATTTTGATTAATACTTAATGTATCTGATACTTTGCTACTATTTTTGATTTTTTTAATTATGTTACAATCTGGGAGAGACTTGAAAGAAGAAAATTTGAAATTTGAATTGTTTGAAGTTGTTACTATTTTGAAAAGATTGACATCAAATTGATTTGAATGACTTGAGAAACTGACATTTAATTTTACGTTTAATTTCCTTTTTAATCTAAAATGTCAAGTTATCTAATGTATCAATTGTTATGTATTTGGATGAATGTGATGTATTTGAATGACAGTAACTTTAAAGAACTTTTGTAAATTGAAAAAACACAAAGACAAGATGTATTTGCTTCGAAATTCCTTAAAACATGTATCAAATTCATAACATAATGAACTGAAACATAACATTGCTTTCTTTTACTATGAAATTACACTTTATTACAGTAAACATCACTTTTCACAATCATGTTGTTCCAGATACATTATTATCAAAAATAAAATCATACGTTATATAAATAGTGTATGTAAAACATTATATATTATATCAGATTCACAAAATTTTATATTTTAATAATGTGAATAAATTATTATCAATCAGAAGTGTACACAAAGTTGAAGAATTTTTTTTTTATTTTGAATAATGATATTTCAGTTTATTGTATCAAAAGTTCATAAGCATGTACAATATGTTGTAGTGTAGATTATTGTGTCCATGAAAAACCTATAAATTGAAAATTATCAAATTGAAACATCATTCCAACCATCTTTGGAAAAGAAAGTATAAGTTCGTCTATTTTGACCTTCTTGTCCACAACGTCCACGACACTTTGTGTGTATTCTTAACTTTTTATTTGGATTTAATCCTCGGTGATTCCTTAATCATCCAGACATCGTTTTGTATCAAGGTAGCAACACAATTTCTTTCAAAATAAATTCTGGAACTCACTGAAAAAATATATTCAGAAGATGTTACAACTTGTAAATATTTAAAATAGCGATACATTATATGATAATTCACTACAAAGCAGCTAATGTCTCATGTATCATTCAAAAAAAAAAAGTATAGTGAGCCGCAAAAAAGAACAAGATACATTAATCATTAATTTTAATATCGAATTAATACAATAAGTATCCGACACATCTTTTTATACACACTTTACTACGTCTATCAGATATACATCAACAACCAATAACCAACAATTGATACAATAAATATGACAATGGATAGTAAGAAACTCCTTGAGAGAGAAGAATCAATTCATACATGCTATTGAGATCTAAATATTATAGTCACTAACTTGTTATTTACTTATTTCTTAAAAATAAAATTGTTACACATTCTTCATTGAATAGATGCATATAAAATTAGAAAGTCGCAACCGCAGATTTCTCAATGGAGTATGAAGGAACCACAAATAGATACAACTCTCACAATGATTAGCATTTAGTACCCAGTTGATCAAAAAGCTTTTGAATTAACTGGTGTATTTAGTTGCTCCAAAATATCAATTTCAAAAGTAGAGATTTCTTGGATGAAATCGGAAAGACCCTTACTGCCACCTTTTGCACTCTCAAGCAAAGATCGATCAGAATCATTATTTGGCTCTCTGTCAATTTCTTAACATGAGAGTTGCTTCATAATTTTGAAGGTTCTTCAATGAAAAGGGAGAAGAAATTTAAAATTTTTGGTTCCTTTACGCTGTATGACTGAATTGTTGACGATAATCTAGAATGGAATAACACAATTGAAGGGATCTTAATTTGATATTTAATTTTTTTCCCTTAATTAGCGGAACAAGTGGATATTATGGAATCTTAATTTAATTTTCAGTTTTATTTTTCCTTAATAAGTGTCACAAATGATGGATACATAATGTATCAACAATAATGTATTCGGATTTCTTAATTATGTATCCAGAATATATAAAAAATATGAAATTTATGTAATTAAAAGAAAATAAGGAATAGAAGGTAATTACACTCTTACGCTATGAGATTTTTAAAATTTATACAAATTAAAAAGGGGAAATTTTCAAAATGTCAATATTTTAACAATTAAGAGGGCTCATTAGCAACACTTTCAATATTTAGTAAAAATGTCAAATTTTAGTTTGTTATGTATCTTATTATGTTTTTATTATTTATTTTTATTTAAAGTATATAATTATTTAATAACAAAAGGGAGAAAATCAAGGGAGAGAATATTTTAAAAAAAGGTAACAATCACTTAATTTTCTCATCAGTTATATTTTCAAATAAAATTTAAACTTTGTTCTTTTTTTTTCTCCAGAATTTTTATCTTTTTAAAATTATATTCATTCCACAATATATTGTATTTATATTTATTATAGTTTTTTATTAGTTTGTATTCATTCCAATAGGTATGACGAATGTATCTATATAGTCATTTAATAAATATATTTGTATTCATATATTTTTTTCCCTATATAGTTATTTTTTTCTTCAAAAATCTTGTATGTATTCATTTCAATATGTATTTTATTTGTATTTCTATTTATTCTAGTTTTTATTTAGAATTTAGTATAATAATATATAAAATACAAAAAATTAGTATGATGAAAAAGTGAATGAAATATAAAATTGAAAAGAAATAATTGAATATTTGGTCTGACATACCTTTAGAATAAATACAAGTTAGAAAAAAATGTTAAATTCAGAAACAATGCAACATAATTTCTGAACGAATACAACTATTAATTGTAAAAATACATACTGACTAAAACAATATCAAAATTCAATATATACTTCCAAATTTATGAGTACAAAAAACAATAAAACTATGAAATAGAAAAATAAATACTAAATGTGGTACATTGACATAACTATCACAAAAAAAAGAATACAAAATGAATTAAATATATGAAATACAATTCCAAATCTATGTATACGAAATACAATAAAACAATGAAATACAAAAATACATAATGACTAAAACAATAACAAAATTTATACACTTTCAAATCTATGAATACAAAAAACATTAAAACTATGAAATATACACAATCAAACTCATATAATGTGTTACATTGACATAACTAACACACACAAAAAAAAAACATAACACAAAATACAATAAATATATGAAATACAAAAATAAATACTAACTATAACATAATAAAAATTCCATATACACTTCCAAACGCATTGTAACATGATTTTTTTTTTTGAATCTTAAAAATTACTAAACAAATTAAACCAAACATGCAAGACACATAACATGCCAAAAAAAAATACCTCTTCTCCAACAAATTGGTCTTCTTCAACTTCATGATTAGGAATTTGTGTGGGATTTTGCACATTAATGGATTCAGGCATTTTTTTCACATCGTATATCCTCCTTAGATTTAGAAGTGGAACCTACATTGTTGTTTAATTCTTGAGTGAAAAAAAATTAAATTATGAAAAATCGGAAGAACTTTGATTATTTTGTCCAAGACCTCTAGTAACTCTCTTGAAAACGTCCATTGAAGAGAGAATTATGTAGTCTCAAACCCTAAAAATGTTTTAAGAACAACAAAACATATAAAAAAAAACACTAAATTCAGTAAGTAAATAAATAAGGAATCTGAAAACATAATATCTAAATCAATGTTAATCTTCAAAATAAATCTTGCAACGTAATTAAATGAGAATAATAGAAAATATTAATATATTGAATCGAAAATATGTGGAATTGATTTGGAAGAATGTTAAAGAGAGAAATTGAAAAGAAGAGTAAGAAAAAAGAGAAAAATTCGGATTAGGAAGAGAGTAAGAGATAGAAATTGATAAGCTTAAGAAAAGAGAGAGAAAAATTAAAATGATATTAATATCTATCCAATTACATAAATATAGGAAAATGTGTCATCTAGTAGAGAGAAAAAAAGTATAAATGATGAGAGAGAAAATATTAATAATATCAGAATAATTATTTATTTTTAAAATAATGACATTTTTGACATGTTTACTAATATTATTAAAATATAAATATTATCACTAAATAAGTTAATTTTTTTTTTGACTAATTAGCTAAATTTAAATTTAAAAGTTTTGGAGAAAAAAAAGAATAAAGTTTAAATTTTATTTGAAAATATAACTGATGATAAAATTAAGTGATCGTTACTTTTTTTTAAAATATTCTCTCCCTTGATTTGCTCCCTTTTGTTATTAAATAATTATATACTTTAAATAAAAATAAATAATAAAAGCATAAATAAGATACATAACAAACTAAAATTTTACATTTTTACTAAATATTAAAGGTGTTGCTAATGAGCCCTCTTAATTGTTAAAATATTGACATTTTGAAAATTTCCCCTTGAAAAATCAGTGTGGGCCTAAGGCCCAAAGATACAATTTAGTTTGAGGCCCAATAAAACTCTTATTGGGCTTTGGTTTCACTGTAAAGACAAAAAAAACCCAGAGAGGATAAGAAAGAAGAACAAAAATAAAAACACCGGCAGCTCTGTTGCTCTCTTCTTCTTCTCCGAGTAAGCTTACTTTTTCATCTTTTTGCTTACTAATAATCTTCATATAGATAAAAACAACAACTATTTTATACTTGTGCAGTAGAAAAAAGAATTTCTTTTTTGCCCATATAGTGTAGAATGACCGGTATTTAGTGTATACTATTTCTAGTTTTTTGTTGTTGTTGTAAACTTGTTCTTATGGAGTTAATAGTACCAACGAAGCAAACCCATGAAGGGTTTTGCTCATTTCACTCTACTCGTAAGGATATCACTGTTAATTGCTGTAATAATAGGAGGTTCAAGAACAGTTCTTTACTTGTGGGTCAGTTGAGAAAACAGAGACAAGATAAGGTTTTTCCTGTTTCAAAAATTGAAACTTTATCGAGTGTTGAGAAAAGGGGATTCGGGAGTAGTAGTAATAGGAGATGCAAGAACAGTTTGCTTGTGGGCCAGTTGAGGAAACAGAGACAAAATAAGGTTTTTGCTATTTTAGGAGGGACGACAAATGGTAGGTTATCAAGTGTTGAGAAAAGGACAAATGGGAGCGTGTCTGAAAATATTGAAGAATTTGAGAGTAATAATTATCTTCGTAGGTTGGTTAGGAATGGGGAATTAGAAGAAAGTTTTAAGCATCTTGAGAGTATGGTGTATCGTGGGGATATACCTGATATTATACCATGTACAAGTTTGATTCGTGGGTTTTGTAGAATCGGGCAAACGAAGAAGGCTACGAGAGTTTTAGAGATTCTTGAAGATTCTGGGGCTGTTCCTGATGTTATCACTTACAATGTGTTGATTAGTGGTTATTGTAAGTCGGGTGAAATTGATAATGCGTTGAAGGTATTGGATCGAATGAGTGTTGCACCTGATGTTGTCACGTACAATACTATTTTGCGTAGCTTATGTGACAGTGGGAAACTGAAACAAGCTATGCATGTTCTTGACCGTATGTTGCAGAAAGAGTGTTACCCTGATGTGATCACCTATACAATTTTGATCGAAGCAACGTGTAAGGAAAGTGGTGTTGGGCAGGCGATGAAGCTTTTGGATGAAATGAGGAGTAAAGGATGTGTACCTGATGTAGTAACTTATAATGTTCTTATAAATGGGATTTGTAAGGAAGGGAGATTGAACGAAGCAATCAAATTTCTGAATAATATGCCATCTTATGGTTGCCAACCTAATGTGATAACCCACAATATAATTTTGCGTAGTATGTGTAGTACAGGTAGATGGATGGATGCTGAGAAGCTTTTGGCTGATATGGTTAGAAAAGGCTGTTCTCCTAGTGTTGTCACGTTTAACATCTTGATCAATTTCTTATGCCGAAAGGGACTGTTGGGACGGGCAATCGATTTATTGGAGAAGATGCCTAAGTATGGATGTACTCCAAACTCCTTGAGTTATAATCCATTGCTTCATGCATTCTGCAAAGAGAAGAAAATGGATAGAGCGATTCAGTATTTGGAAGTTATGGTGAGTAGGGGTTGTTACCCTGATATCGTGACTTATAATACATTGCTCACGGCTTTGTGCAAAGACGGTAAGGTTGATGTTGCAGTTGAAATCCTCAATCAACTTAGTGACAAAGGTTGTTCTCCAGTTCTAATCACTTACAATACAGTGATTGATGGATTATCCAAAGTTGGGAAAACTGAACTTGCCATTGAACTTCTGAATGAAATGCGAGAGAAAGGTCTCCAACCTGATATCATTACCTATTCCTCATTTGTGGCAGGTCTTAGTAGGGAAGGAAAAGTTGATGAAGCCATTAAATTCTTTCACGACATAGAAGGATTGGATGTCCGGCCCAATGCTATAACCTACAATGCCATTATGTTGGGGCTGTGTAAAGCTCGTCAAACAGATCGTGCAATTGACTTCTTGGCTTATATGATTTCAAAGGGATGCAAACCTACCGAATCTACATACACTATTCTAATTGAAGGTATTGCTTATGAAGGCTTAGCAGAGGAGGCTTTGGAGTTATTGAATGAGTTGTGCTCTAGAGGAGTTGTGAAGAAGAGTTCTGCTGAACAGGTGGTGGTTAAGATGTAGTTTCTAAGCATACTTTCACTTCCAACATCAACCTCTTTAGTGTCCGTTTTTTTTTTTGGATGTATTCTGTTAATTGCTCACAAAAGCATTTGTGTTCGCATCAATATGTAACAATTCCCCTCTGTTGGCTAGATATATGAAGTGAAAGTTAATTTTGTTTGATAATGATCATTATACTTTGTTTTCAACTAGTGTACTTCTATACCCCATGATTGTTGACGCGTACATCTTTTATTCTTTCTTTTGGAGAAAATTGATGAATAATGAAAGTTATGCAGAACTGGAGACATATTTTTTGAGACATTTTAGTGAATGTTGTTTAAGTTATTGGCCGAGGGTCTTTCAGAAATGGCCTCTCTGCCTCCACGAGGTAGGGGTATGGTTGCGTACACTCTAAACTCCCCATACCCTCTCTATGGGATTTCACAGGGTATGTTGTTTTAATAGTTTAGCTTATTGCTCATAAAGGTATAAAGTTTATATGATGATGGTTTAAAAGAACTACAATTGAATTTTCATGTACATTTCTGTGTCATTTGCATTTTTAGGGATCATTGATTGTTATATGGTTTCCATTTCTCTCTGGGAATATCGTAGTTTCAAGTCCAGAAATTTATGGCATTTTGGAAGTAAGGGAATTCTTGGTAAACGAAGTGTGCTTTGTGTAGTGGAAAGCTAATGTGATTGTTGGAGGGTTCATAGAATTATCTGCTTTTTTTTGGTTAATTGTATACCCTAGGCCAAGGGGCTTGATCTCGGAGTAGTTACATTTACTAGTTAGTTAATAGCTGGCACCATACAATATTCAGAGGTAGTCATGCCAATTGCTTCGCTCTGCATATTTTCCTAGGAAATGTAGTTCCTGAAATATCTGCCCGCATTGCTTCTGCTGCAGTCATTGGAGGAACAACCAAATCATAAACGCAGCACTTCGCTTCCTCCTTTGTCAGCATGTCCAGCCCCCTATTCTGTTCCCTACATACATCTGTTGGCACTGGAGCTCCCATATAATGTTATTGTACGGCAAGTGTCCATGTGTGAGCATGTGGATGGCTTTGGTTGAGTCAATACTACTTTCTAGCTGTAATAATTCATGTTCTGCTGCTAGTTGGAGGCCCTGGATAAGTGCATGGAGGTCAACTAAGATAGCGGTGGTGTGAGAATCCCCTTCATGTAGCCTAATATCCAGTCGCCTGTATGGTTCCTAAAGACCCCTCTGAACCTTCCTATTCCAGGGTTGCATTTTGTGGATCCATTGGTGTTGAGCTTGTAGTTACCCGTCCTTCAAGAAGATGTAATCACTCTGCCACTGATTCACCCCCCTCTGCTTTGGTTTCTCCAGACGAGAAAAATGTCGCCTTGGCTGTTTCATAGAACTGCATCAACAGTGAGGACTTAACCACTACTTGCAAGATTCTTTTACCTGTACTTTTTTCTGCTGTAGAGTACTGATCACCAATCATATATCTCACGAGAGTCTGACAATTCGGAGAAGGTACTTGTGATCACACACAGAATCACCTGTATGTATCGACATGCATTTTCAGAATCCTCAGCTCGTCTGAAAGGGAATGGTTTCTCTTCCAAGTTCAAGTGATACAGTTTTAGAGTACAACTACTGAGCTCTTGATGAAACTCGAAGGACTTACAAGAAGGAACGTGGCAAACCATCTCCAGGTATTAGTTAGTCATCGCGTTTCAATCTGCTTTCGAATTAGGGATTTTCTAGGTACATCTGGTTTGTAATGTGGAAATAAGTTGCAAGTTGATACTCTGTATCACAAGATGAATTGTGTCCCTTTTTTCCTTTGTAGATTGGATATTTCATATATGTATGCAATCCATGTACTGTGTTTATGAATTTAGTTGACTCTTGAACTAAGCATGACAAGAATTAGATATCCTTTGCTCTCACTATTCACTTTTTGTCACACGAGCCGAGTGTCTTTGGAAACATCTCTACCTCCACGAAATGAAATTTCTTAAGTTGAACTATAGTTTATCATCCACAAAATTATACAAGAAATTTTACACTTGCTCAATTTCATATCAAGAGAATAATATTTATTGTGTTGAATCGAGATTTGAAATTTATAGATTATGAATTACTTGGTATTTATTATTGGTTGGTTGTAATTGGTATATTTGAAATTAGTTTAAGTGTGCGAAAGTAAGCTCAGACTCCAAGGTCATTAAATAAAGAAGGAACAAAAATTTCCTAAAGGAACAAATATGCCTTGATAAAAAATGTCCTCCTAGGACTTCTAATGGTAGTTTGCTTATTTTTTTAATCCTATTCTCAAATTTTTGCAATTTTTTTGCTTTCAATTCTAAATCATTTCTCACCTAAACAAAAATAGAAAATGCAAGTAACACATCACATCGCAACTCCTCAACGCAATTATACTCACCACAATCAATCGATTGATCAACCAAGTTCCTGAGAATTATCATAGGATTTATGTCATAACTCATCGAAACATAAATTGAATGCACGCAAGCTGACACAAACAAAACTGAAACATTGCGAAAATTCTCATTAGCCAGCTGCAGTAATAGTTCTTTACCCAAGACAAAAATCCCTCAAATATCCAAAAAGTTAAAATGGAACACTATTCAGAAAAACACAAATTTAAGAATAGCAGTGTTGGCAATCCTGGAAAACACCCAATTTAAAACTACACGATAGCGTTGGCAGCGCTTGCAATCCTGGGCCACAGATCAGCACACTCTTTTCCGATAGGACCAGTAATAGCAGAACCTACAGAACAGAGAAAAGTGTGGATTAACATTCTGATAGGGAAGGAGACAAGGAACAGTAACTGCAAAATTTGCGATAATCGAACAACAAGAGACAGTAACAGAAATAGCAATGAACTCTACTCAATGTAAAATAACATACCCTTCATTTCACCCTTGGGATTCACAATTACACCAGCATTATCTGTACAAACAAAGAGAAGCATCAGATGACTGGTTTTCATATACTGTGCAGATACCACTTACAGCTGCTGCACACACACTTTGCTATCCCTCAACTTCATGACTTTATTATATCATGAAACACTATCGATATTAAATAATTTTATGTGTTTTTAAAAAGTGATTTACTGTCACAACAAAAACAATTAAGGGTATCTAGATATACCTTCAAAGTACATGAAAACACCATCCTTTCGACGCCATGGCTTGCGCTGACGAACAATGACAGCAGGCATAACCTTCTTCCGCAGATCAGGCTTACCCTTCTTGACAGTGGCCATGACCATGTCACCCACGCAAGCTGAAGGCAACCTGTTAAGCCTTCCCTTGATACCCTTCACTGAAATGATGTAAAGGTTCTTTGCACCAGTGTTATCGGCACAGTTAACTGTGGCCGCCACTGGCAAACCCAGTGACATCCTGAACTTGTTCCCAGCGGAACCTCCGCGTCCTTAAATAACATTTTAAAATAGTCAATTAGTCAATCAATCAGCTACATTTCAAATTCAAAACAGTGAGGTTTAACGATATGAAATGTCCATACAAGTTGACACTCCTATTAGGCTCATTTTATTCTAATACCGATAAAAATAAATTTGTTTACTAAGGTTATATTAATTAAAAGCTCCCTAAATAGCTAAACCTCACACTGATGCCACATCAAATGTAACATTTTAAAAAATTTCAAAGAATACATGAGATCAAACAACAAGAGAACGGAGGGAATTACCATACAACAAGCAGAAAATTGAATTGTATATATGTTAAAATAACTAATTATATCAATCGTGTTTCAATCTGAAACTAGTTCGAGGACAAGTAAATGAAACATATTCACACTTTCCACTCTATTAGGCACATTTCATTATAATACAGTCAACTAAGTCACAATGCTAAACTAGCCAGGACTCGGGACAACTATATGAAACATTTGTATATTTTAACCACACAGGCTCCCCATTCCACTCTAATTACAGTAAAACAGCTACCACTGGCAAACTCAGCCACATCCTAAACTTGTTCCTAGTGGAACCTTTGCGCCACGCCGGTAACACTCACATCAGCTCAAGTCACAGTTAAAAGCAACCACCAGGAAGAGAAGATATCATTGATCAAATTGGTATTGTTCTCGTCCTCTCTTCTCTCTCTTCTAACAGACTCTCTTCTCTTCTTCCTTCTAACCTAAACCTTCTGTCTGCAGGATCGGAGCTCTGTCCATGGAGGCTTACTATCTTCGTTTCTAGTTCCTTTATTTCCTTGCATTTCTGAACAATTTCGTTTGAATGAATGTGTACTTAATTACATTTTAAAACCTAATTAACCAATCAGTCAAGTTTCAGTCTCAACCTAATCGAGGCAAACTAAATGACACATTTTTACATCTTCCACTCTATTAAGCTCATTTCATTATAATACATTTAACTAAGTCACGCTCCTAAACTACCCGCGAGATTGACTACATGAAAAACTTATACCGCTTCCACTATAGACTACTCATTTCAATCTAATAACTACACATAATTTGTCTTTCTAAGGTATGTTACTTAAAAAATTCTTCAAATTGAAAAATACATGAAACCAAACTACTCAGCTCATTTCACTATACTATGGTTAACAAATCAAGCAACCAATACACTAATCTACATCACAACTACATGAAATATTAGAATATGTTAAATTCAAGGTATATTATGAATTATATGACTTAAATAACTTGGTTTCTCAGGTAATAATGAGTTATATGACATGAAAGTTCTCTAAAATCTCAAATTTTGAATCAAATTGAGATCAAACAATGAAAATACGATAGAAATTGAACTGTACCTCGCTTCGACATTGTTGCTCTTCTCTCTACCTGAGAATGATTGAAGAGGAGGCGTTAGGGTTTTATTATATGAAGTTTTAGGGTTTTGCTGTAGAGTAATGGGCTGCTGGTCCAGTTACAGTTGGGCTTGGTAGGCCCATTGATAGGTTTAATTTTGAGGCCTATTGTTGATTGGCCCATTGAACTTTTGATTCCGTTTGTATCGTGGGAAAAAAACTCGAGATTAACAATTTTTGATTTTTGACCTTAGTGGTTTTTTCATGATCATCAAGTGTAGGAAAAAAGTGTAAGTTTATCTCAATTTATGTGGTACATTTTTTTTAATTCAAATCCAAAAAAAATATATTACATTCTCTTATTGGGTAAATTTTTAATAATATTATCAAATATTTTATCCAAATTATATTTTGTTACTAAGCAAAAAAAGGACTATAAAGCTGTACTATTCTATTTAACATTCAAGAGCAGTGGCTACCGGTCCAGTTTCAGTACTATAATATATATATATATATATATATACACATACTACTAATTTATACTCAAGTGTCTAATATTTTGTTTTAGCATATTCTCTAAAATTTTCTTCTATTTGAAAAAATTATAAAAATTTTTACTCTTTTCTATTTTCGGATACATTATTTTATGCGATATATTAAGACGTTAAGTGATGTATTCAAAATTGAAATGTAATGTATTAAAATATTAAGTGATGTATTCAAAATCGAAATATAATATATCGAGACGTTTTGAGATGTATTCGAATTTCACCAATTTTAAGAAATTTTTGTAATTTGAAATAGATTAAGAGTAAGAAGTAATTTGCTATGTTCTTGACTGGCCCATTGAACTTTTGATTCTGTTTATAGCATCGTTTATATCATAGTATAAAAAAGGGATAATGCCCAGGTACCCCATCAATCTATGCCCGAAATCTCAGAGACACACTTATACTATACTAAGGTCCTATTACCCCCTGAACTTATTTTATTAATAATTTTTTTACCCCTTTTTAGCTTATGTGGCACTATCTTGTGGGCCCAACGATGGTTGACTTTTTTCTTCGAACTAGTGTCACGTAGGCTATAAAGGGGTTGAAAATTACATATAAAATAAATTCAGGGGTAATAGGACCTTAGTATAGTATAAGTGTGTCTCTGGGATTTTGGGCATAGGTTGAGGGGATACTTGGATATTTTCCCTATAAAAAAATCAAAGTTAAATAAAGCTTTGATTTTTAACCTTGAAAGTTTTTACGTAGTTAAGTAAAATGTTAAAAATTCAAGATCACCGCTTCAAAGTCGTTGATTGTAATTTTCTGATACTTAAGTGTTTTCTGCTAAAACATATGTTCGTCTCAATTTATGTGACATATTTTTTTTAGTAGATCTCAAACATAATAATACAATATTTTATTTGGCAAACAAAAGGGATCGTTTGATTAGAAACGAGTTATCTCAAAATAAATTATTCTACCATGTATAATAATGTTAAAATTACCTAATATCTCGAACCAAATATAGAGTAAAATATATTATTTCTGAAATTATTATAATTTCTACCTCACACCAAAAGAATATCCCATTCAACTCTCTCTCCACTTATAATAATTTTATTTCATATTCTAATTTTCTTTTTAAATAAATAATGCATTTATTTTTTTTCTTATTAATAATGTATGACATTATTTAATAAATAAAATAATATTCAATAAAATTCCAAATTACAAGCTTCAAGTCCCACAGCTTATTCTGTACATGAAGAATGTTATCTTGAATTCTTTGAGACAAACAAAAAAAAAAAATCATCCAAAGTGAAGAAGAAAAATGGCAATAATGATGAAGCAAGGGCTTCTTTGGAGTCCTTGCCCTCATTCTATCTCACCCAAAATTCAATCTTTTAAACAACCCATTTTCCAGCTCACAAACAAATGGAGAAAAGAAGGAGAAGCTATGTTAATTAACTCTGTTACCCAGGAAAAATCCAAAAAGAAAGGCATTGCCATTGATTTCAAGGTGAAGTTTAACTTTTTTGGCTTATGGGTTTTGCTTATTTCTAGTTTTTGCTTATTGGGTATGCTGCAAAATTGCTTCTTTT